ATGTGTGTTGTTGGGGTTTTTGTCGTTGTGAAAATGAACGATTATGCTGATTTGTACGAGGAGGTTTAGATGTTTGCGCTCTATTTACATAGTTATAATTGTGTTCTGTAAAGTTACTTCTGGTGAATATTCTTTGTTTTTGTGTTGGTTTCGTCATTGGTCTAAATGTTTGGTAATCCATATGTGAATATTTTGGAGCAACCGAGGGTTTAACTGTAGATTGCAATGTTACTTGGGGTTACATTGAAGTCTTTGGTTTTGGCGTTGTTAGGTTTGGATGTATTGGTGAAATACTTTGTTGTGTGGTTGTTACAATTGTTTCAACTATTTCTTCATTTATAAAATGTGATGGTGTTTGAATATCTTGTTGTGTAAGATTTCTAGTTCCATTTAAGTTTTCATGTTGTACAAGAGTTGAATTTAAACTATTATTTTGTCTTCTATCAGGTAAAAATGAACTTTAGTTAAAAGGTGTTGCGTCTATTGTTAGTGGAATTACTTTTATATAAGCTTTGTGAATAGTTATTGTACTGATTGCTTGACTTGAGATGTCTATTGGAATATTCAGAAATAATGGATGAGACCATTCAGGGTCCCAAGCGTAATCTGACTGTTCGGCAATGACAGTGTCATCATTTGTACTTTGGGATCTAAAATTTTTTCTTGCTTGTGCAATTAAATCTATATTGTGGGTAAAATGGTCAATTATAAACCGTGCTAAGATTTTTCGTAAATCTTGTGTAACATTTGGCGAAGTTTCGTTATTTGAAAAATTTTCACGGATTGTGTTTAAAAATGCTGAGAATGCGGCAATTTCATTTCTTACATTTGTGTGTCTTGATGTTTGAACCGGTGATGTGCTTTCGGTTTCTGTTTTTTCTAGTATAGATAAATAATTATATATTATTGCAAAACATCGTTTGTGAAAATTGAATTTGCTCTCTGTGAATTTTGATGTTCTATGTTTTTAATATATTCTGTGAATACTTTTGAAATTTCTTTATGGACATCATCTGTTTGGATAACATATAAAATTTCTTGTTGTACTGAGTTCTATGGTGTAAATTCCATATTGTTGTGTTAAGTTACATATTCCTTTTAAGTAATGATCGACAATTTGTCTTTTGATTTTTATTTCTGGGAATTCTGCTTTACATGGGCTATTTCCTTGTTCAAATATATTTGCGATTAGATTATGACAAAATTGTGTTTGTCCTCTGTCTTCAGTGAGTGTAATGATGATAAATGGAAAAACAGAGTCTTCGTCTGGACTTTCGTCACTTGGGCTTGGACTCATTTTTTCGTTTTATGACTGTCAGTGCGTAATGTTCAATGTGTCTGATTGGTTGGTTCCAACTGTATAAACGTACTGATTTATTTTTGTATATCTTTTTTATTCTTCTTTTACTTTGTTTTGATGAATGTGATGTAGCTTCTGAATCGGAAAAGTATAATTAATCGTGAACTGGGTGGTTTTTATTTACTGTATCTTTTAGTTTGTAGAGTGCATCTAAATCGCTCTAAATCAGAGACTGCGTTTCTACGCTTTGAGAATCTTTTTCGTGTAATTTGTCTCTACATACTTAAAATTTTTCTTTTTATTTGACGTTTTGTGCGAATATATCCGATTGTTTGTTTATGCGGTGTAATTACAAGATCGTATGTTTCGTTATTTATTTTACAACTGTGTAGTACGATTGTTTGTTTATTTCCTAAATTGTTCAGTGACATAAGGTTTAGGATGAAGGGTGCAAGGTTTTTATTAGTGATTTTAAAATCCTAGACTGTTAGTCCTTACGATTTTTTGGTTAGCCTAACTTGGGTGTTTTATGTAGGGTTGGAGAGAAAAGTATATATCGATTCCGAAGAATGATTTTTACTTTCTCGTGGCTATTCTAAATTAAGGTGTTAACTTTCTTAATCTTACTTAGGGGTAGTGATTGTGTTCAAGGGTTGGAGAATAGTAAATCAATCCACAAGGTTCAGGTATAATTAGAACACAGGTAGTTCGTTAGATACTATTTTAATACTTACTAAGATTTAAGGTTTAGCCTGGGCCAGGTAAGAGGGGGGATTAAGTGAAGGATGAATGACCGAAGTTCTTCACTGTTTAGCTTAATTTGAATGGTTAGTATGATTGAAAAATTCTAATAATCCTGGGTCTTTAAAAAGGGTTGGGTTGTGAATCGACGTTTGAGGTCGTAAGACACTTTATTATTGGGTGGGGGAGAACAAAATTGTTCTTTTTGATCCAAAGATAGGCCTTGATGATCAGTATATAATGTTCAATGATATAAAATGGATTTAATTTAATTTTTAATGGAGATCTAAGGAAAGCCTTGATGATCTGGTTTAATATTGAATAAGTTGAGATGAAAGAAAGATAAAAATTTAGTTAAGGTTTTAAAGATAATTTAAATTTATTTGATAAAAATTTTAGTGTTTGATTATATTAATGGTTTAAATGATTGCTATTATGTTTAGGTGATAAAGCTGGGGATGCTAGGATGATTTGTATATACTAATAATTAATGATCATTTCAACTAATTTTTCTTTTTTCTTTCAATAAATATATTTTTCAGATATCTTTTTAAATTTAGTGCAGATTCAGAGGGAACGATTTGAGATGTTTTTATAAATTGTTATTGTACAATAGTAAATAGGATTTAGCGCCTGTAGTAATCATTGAAGATTTTTCTTCAAGGTTTCTATGTTTGCAAATGAAAATCTAAATTCTTTCTTAATAAAATCCTAAATATAAAAGTTTGGTCTGGCTTTTACCGTACGACCATGAAACCTAATGGTAAGTTCCTTCGTAGTCGTAGATCGTCTCTTGTCCGAGGTCTTCTTCCAATGCCTGGTAGTTCTATTATTGTGCGGATTAGCGGTTCTGATCTATTGAGTCGTAGAGACATTTCAATTAGATTATTATCATGTAACATTTTTGATAATATTTTTGTTCAATTCTAATCTATCTGTTAGTTCTAAACTAATTTGTTTTTTAAGGTCTTGATCGAGACTTATGGTCGCACCAGATGAGTTAAGTTTGAGGTTAAACTCATAGAGTAATTTCGGATAGGGTACACCGTCTGCTCGTCACGCTATCTTATTTTCGGCCGGATAGATTCGTGCAATTTCTTAGTCTAATACCGATCCTAATCTTACTCTTGTTCTTGTTTGATTTATTAAACAAGTATTAAGAAAACATTTTTTTTTTCCAGATGAGATCTGGTTTTTTTTTTTTTTTTTTTTTTTTTTTTGAGACGCTTTTTCGAAAAAGTCGCTTTCCCAAAAAACTTCCCGTCAGATTCTCATAAAGGTGGTACCAATGGATTCAGTAGCGTTTCACCTACCTGCCTGCGTGAAATTTAGGGCAATTTTTACCCTACCCCACCCCTTACGGTCTTAGAAAAGCTTCACAACTCGGTACTTTTTCACTTTTTGCCCATTTTTTCGAAATTTTTGATTTCCTCAAAAACTACCCGTTCAGATTTGGGATTAAGGGTTAAATCGATAGACCAGGTTGGAGGAAACTCCCATGCACAAGCGGCTGGTCCCTAGTTTGCTTAGGGGAAGAGCTATAGACTTAGGAAAAGTCACTTTTTTGATTTTTTTGCCTATTTTTTCGGAAATTATCGATTTCCTCAAAAACTACCCATCCAGATTTGGAATTAAGGGTTTAATCGATAGACCAGGTTGTAGGAAACTCCCCCGCACAAGCGGCTGGTCCTTCATTTGCCTAGGGGAAGAGCTATAGACTTAGAAAAGTCACTTTTTTGATTTTTTTGCCTATTTTTTCGGAAATTATCGATTTCCTCAAAAACTACCCGTTCAGATTTAGGATTAAGGGTTTAATCGATAGACCAGGTTGTAGGAACCCCCCCCCCCCCCTACGCAAACGGCTTGTCCCTAATTTGTCTAGGGGAAGAGCTATACACTTAGGAATAGTCAATTTTTCGGTTTTTAGGCCATTTTTTCAAACTTTTTCGATTTCTTCAAAAACTACCCATCCAGATTTGGGATTAAGGGTTTAATCGATAGACCAGGTTGTAGGAAACTCCCCTGCCCAAGCGGCTGGTCCTTAATTTGTCTCGGGGAAGAGCTGTACACTTAGGAAAAGTTTTTTTAAAAGCTTTTTGGCATTGGAACAAAGATTCAATATACTTATTGTGTGTATTTTTTAAACAATGGAATCCGCTATGCTTACGTTTTCTCGCTTTTGCTTGGTGCTATTGGCTTTGTGTAGAGTTTTTTTGTATGGTTCGGATTTGTATAACGTTTTTTTCTGAAATAACCAAACAGGTCTCTCCAGCTTCCAGCTGGTCCCCTATTGTCTAGGGAAACACCTATGGACTTGAAAAGTTCCCTCATGAAAACTTTTTACCAAAGCGTTACCAATGAATGCATAAGCTTCCCTTTCACTTTTTTTTGCGTAGGAAGGGCGCTATCGACTTGAGAAACCTGAAATTTTAAAACAATTTTAAAATAATCAATATTAGAATAATCAAACATGTCTCTCCAGCTTTCAGCTGGGCCCCTAGTATCAACTAGTCTCAGGGTGTTTAACTAGTCTCTGCTAGGCTCAATAGATCTAGAGTATACTGGCTTATCGCGATTGCTAAAGTTCTCTTGGAGAGGTAACTAATTTCTAAGTTAAATTCAAATCTCTCTGATGCTGAAATTACAAGTAATTTCAGCACTTACAAATAAGTGGGTTGTTAGTTAGATGGATCGTGATTGGTTAATATTAAATATTTTATAGAGATAAAATATCCAATTTATAACCAAATAATAAATATAGTTTATATCTGGTTTCATATTGCCGGTTTCGTCTTTTTGAAACTATAATAATGCTATACTTGAATTTTATAAATCTTAGGCATGCTAAAATTCATATAGAGGTCATAAGGGAAAGTTGCTGAATTCGGATATGATTGGCGATAGTTTAAGAAATTTGTGGGTGTGACCGAAGTTTTTGGGCATCATTTTGTTCTATTAGGTCACTAGGATGCATTCTCTATGAGTTGTTTGTGGGCCAGCCTCCTTTCTACACAAACAGCATTTTCCAGTTGATCAACCTCATCGTGAAAGTTAGTTCTTACTCGTAACTAGTTAACACTAGCATCAAATCAGTTTATAACTGAATGCTACTTCTCTATTTTAAGGATCCCGTAAAGTGGCCCAAGAATATGAGTTCCGTGTTTAAGGTAAGAACTACTCATAAATTAAATAAGCTGATCCGTGTTGTAGTAGGGTAGTATTATCATGATCATGCTGATTAAGGATTTCCTGCAAGGACTGTTGACCAAGGATCCCAGAAAGAGACTCGCGTGGCCACATCTGCTAAATCACCCCTTCGTCAAAAACCACGTCAATGGTCAGTGGACTTCAAATTGACCATGTTGTAATCACATAATGAGGTTTTTTCAATCTTTCTAAAAGTTAATGACCATTTAATGATGTAACGGCCACTTCGTTAGTTTTTTGGACAGATTGTAATAATTTTTAAGAGTCGATGAACTCTTATATAGGTCGTGATGGTTTTTTCCCGTTTTTTAGGAATAGTCAATTTGTTCTGGCTTAAATTTACTTTTTTCGTGGTTTGATTACAGATTTCTTTTCATGTTCAGTTCAATTTCTTTGTTAAATGGAAGGCAAACTCCTCTATTGAACAGCAAAAGTGTAAAAGTTAGGAAAAATGTGATCGACTTCTGATTTCGAAACAGAAAATTAATTTTCAGATTTCCCAGCCAAATAAAAGTTTTACATATTGATCCATTTTTATCAAATTGGGTTGATTTTAACAAAAAACGTGTCCATCATAAATTGTTCTACAAACTCAAAGAGTTTTAATGCCATCTATTTTTTTTCTTCGAAATTCAAAAGTTGAAGGCTCTTGAAAAAGCAAATAAGTTTTTTTTTCAGTTTCCTTGCGTTCATTACTGTTTTCCAACTATTAGTTGGCTATGTTCTTCTTTGACATTTGAAAGTTGAGATTTTTTCAGACATTAAGTTATTCTTTTTGTTGGCACTCATTGACTCTTGTTGGTTGGTTGTGTGGACCAGCGTCACTGATCCAGGGGCGACGTAGTCGCCGTGTGCGACGTATGAAAGCCAGAATCTCGCTCGGGGAGTCCTGGAGGGCGCGAGTTGTTGCATATTCGCCCAGGCAGTCGTTTCTTTCGGCCTGCCAATGCAAGTAGAAGAACAGAAAGTGCTCCGCCGTCTCTGTGCGGTGTGGCAGGGGGCATGTGTCCGTCTCCTCTCGTCCGTAACGGAAGAGGGTGTCTTCAAGTTGAGGGGTTCTGTTTACACGGAGTTGGAACAGGGTGACTTCCTCCTCTCTCGATCTGTTGACGGAACGGGGGAGCGTCTCTCCTCCCGTAGCGCGGGCGTGGAATTGATTGTCGTTCACATTTGCGGCATACGATTCTTGATGTCTTGTGTCAATCAGTGTCTTGAGGTAGGTTTTGGTGCAGGTGTTCTCGGGAACCCGTCTGAGGAGCGCTTCGCCGTGAATGCTGGGCAGGTAGCTTGCGTAGGTGGTGATCTTCCTGGAGGGACTCGATTTTGTGGAGGAGCAGGGCACCCTCGTGCTCAGCGAGGACCCTGATAGGAGGCAGGCTGGCTGCCGGCAAGAATGATGCACGTGGGATGAATAGGAGAGCCGCGAGGAATGCCAGTGATCACTCTGGCAGCCTGGTAGTTTGCCGATTCTAGTTTGTCAGCCCAGGAATCGGCGAGGAAGTTGAACCAGACTCCCGACGCGTAGGTGCCGCCACTCCGCGCGTAGTTCTTGTAAAGAGTGGTCAAGTCAATGGCTGTCAGGCCCCAGTTTCTGCCTGCGAGGGCTTGCAGAATCCGAGTTCTTTTCTTGAGCTTATCCGCGCTTTTCTTCGCTTGCGCATTAAAGCTCAGCTGGGAGTCGAAGGTAATGCCAAAAATGTAGGGGTTTTTGTTGTAGCGGATCATTGTGTTGTTTATGTGGACATAGGGTGTGGCTTTGCGCGCGGTCACTCTCGGGTGCAGGGAGATGCAGAGCGCTTCCGTCTTCCCCGGGTTGAGGTTAATCGTCATGTATGGTTGTTCGCTCACTCGGCTGCAGAACTTAGGACGGGCTGAATAGATGCGGCTGCTTTGTCCGGGGTTCTCCATCTAGCGGCCAGGGTGAAGTCGTCGGCGAAGAGGTCTGTAACGACCTCAGGAGCGTTGGTTTGGATGGCTCGCGGGAGGGAGGCTGTAGCAAAGCAAAACAGAATGGGGGAGAGCGGGCTGCCTTGCGGACACCCTCCCTGAAGACTTTGAAGCGGCCGATGGTGTCGTTCCACTTGACGGTGCCGCGGCGGTCTGAGAGCCAGGCTAGACAGCGGTTGGGTAGATTCCAACTCGCGAGGTCTCTTAGGAGCCCTACTTTCCAGACTCTGTCGAAGGCGGCGGTGAAGTCCACGGCAACGAGCAAAGTACGTTCCGGCGTGGGTTTCTGAAGGTTGTCCAGGGCTCTCTGGGAAATGCTGGCTAGAGTGTCCAGGGTTGATCTTCTAGGCTGCAAGCCAGATTGCTTTTCCGGAATCATCCCAGTTGACTCCGCCCAAGTTTTTATCCTGGAGGCGATCATGGTTTCGAGCACTTTGGACACGACTGAGAGTAAGGCTACCGGTCTATAGCTCTTTATCTTGTTAGCGGGTTTGTTTTTCTTGATGATGGGTATGATGACTGCTTTCCGCCAGTCGGACGGAACACGGGACTTCAACCAGCTGCGGTTGAAGAGGTCGAGAAGGCGGCGTTTGGCGGAGTCTGCGATGTTCTTCAATATGAGCGGGTGAATCTGGTCGAGACCCGGAGCCCCCTTCTTCAGCTTCAGGAGGGCTGAGGTGAGTTCCATGTTCGAAAAGCCATCGTTGAGGGCCAGCGACTCGTCGACCGGAAGGCGGAGGGATTTTCTCACCACCTCCTAGGCGCCCTTCGAGTCGGCTCTGTCGATTTTCGCGTGGCTGACTGATGCGTACTCTTTTGTCATCCCATTGGATTTGTCCATGTCTGTGGTGAATATTTTTCCGGCGTCGTTTTCTATGGGCTGATTCTTCACGTCTGCCTTGCTCCTGCCGTTCATGGCCCTGAGCGTCTTCCTATACCTTAGTGGAGGGAGTGGAAGGGCGAAGCTCGGCAGCAAAACTTCTCCAGCACTTGGCCTTCTCAGACTGGATCGTGGTGTCCAGTTTTTTCCTGGCCGACTGGTATGCTTGGACGAGGCTAGAGGAGCATGGGTCGCGTTTGATGTTGCGTAGGGCCTGATTGCACTCTTTTTTGCCTTGGTGCAGGCTTCAGTCCACCAAGGTTTGGTAGCGCGGTTGGAGGAGACTGGGGAGCTTTTCTTGGCCGCTTCGAGGACGATGGCAACGAAACGCTTGTTGTCCGCTTCCAGGGAGCCAGCTGGTCACGGCCTCGAAAATAGTTCTTCGCAGTGAGCCCGAAAAGCGTCCCAATCCGTCTTGTTCGGGTTCATCTTCTTCTTCTTGTCGATAGCGGGGCGATTGAAGTCCGTGGAGATGAGAGTGGGGAGGTGGTCAGATCCCACTGACTCGAGGGTCTCCCAGGAGAAGAGGCGAGCCCTGGAGGTATGCACCGCGGTGATGTCCGGTGGCGAAGGTTTGCCTTGTCCTGAGAATCTCGTCGGGCCGCTGTTGAGGAACTGCATGTTCATATCCCCCAGCCACTCGCAAGCTCTAACCCGAGTTGATCGTTCTCAATGTCGTGATCCCAGGGTCCGTGGCAGTTCGCGTCGCTGCAGATCACGACTTTCTCTCCGAACGGCTATTAATTCAGGTGCAGTGATCCATCTCGTTCGTCCCTGACAGGAGGCCTGTATATGTTCCAAATATCAAGTTCACCTTTGCTGGTGCCGATCCGGACACCCAGAGTCTCCAACGCTGCAGCAGGGGGGAGGCCCAGACTGCCTAGTTCCTTTTTGATCGTGGTCCCTTGGCGGACCAGGATGGCGATCCCTCCTTGGGGGTTCGATCGTGAGGAGGCCTTTCTGTGGACCTTTCTGAGGCGATGGAGTGGCGTGTAACCGGGACAATTCGGTGTTTCTGGAGACGAGAGCTGCCTTTGGTGTGTTTTTACAGTTTATTTGTGTTGTGCAGTTCGGGAGTCAATCAACGTGGCACCGGAGCCCTTTACAAAAGAACTGAGCTCAGAGATGCAGGAGGCACGAGAAGCGGCCATTCGAGACTACATGGGAAAACACAAGGGGGCTCCGAGGAAACTCATCAACAAGGCCAGACAGAAAATGAAGGAGGCTGGCGTTGTTCCGGAGGAGGTGCCGGATAAAGAGGCAAAGCCGGATGATGTTCCGCAGCTTCCGAAGGACTCTATGGAAGAGAAGAATGTAGAAAATGGGCAGCCGGATACGGCTGATGCAGCAGATGGGGAGCTAAAGGAATTAGGAAAACAGAAGGTGATTAATTTTTAAAGCTGTTTCTAGATGCATGAAAACAAAGTTCATTAGTTAAAACCGTTTTTATCTTTCCAAGCTTTTTAAAGAACAAAAAATAGTATTAAGTTTTGTCCGAGCTAGGTTTCAGTGAGGTGATGATGTTTCAGACAGTGCCTGCCGGAAATAACGCTGGTACTAAGCCCATCGAAGTGGAAAGTGTTAAGCTTCCTGTAAGTTTTTCATGAATAGCTTCAATCTCATCTCAGATAAATGTAGCATCTCATCAGCAACTAGTGCTTATTTATTACCAGGAGCTGAATCTAGAACAGAAGAGTAACCCCAAATCAAAAGACACCTGGACAGACTTGATGGAGCTAACGAACCCCTCAAATGAAGCAGAGTATACTTTGGAAGATGTTCTATCCCACCTGTCGAAAGCGCGCGAGGATATTGAGAATACGTTCTTGATGACAGAAAAAGTGGACTGGGATGATGAAAAGAGCGTCCATGTGGTGAAATTTTCACTCAGAGTCACGACCAATGTTCTAAACACAAACATGTGAGTGTATCTAATTATCAAGGTTTTAGGCAGCGTTGAATAAAAAAAATTGCTGTATAACTAACTTGTTGGTAATACATACAAGAGTTTAGTTTTTGTGTAACGTTGCAATTTTCGTTTTGTCATAAAGCAGTCTACTCAGGTTCTTATTAGACTTATGAATGCTCTTTTGATATTTTTGCTTCATGTATGATGGCGAATACTTGTAAATACTTGAATCATTTAAATCATTTATGTTTTGAGGGATTCTGCGGACGTGAACTCATTTGTGAAGGCCCTGCAGATCCCCAGCTACCACCTTGTGTTAATGGGCAAAGTACTGGAAGCAGCGGGAGATTCAAAGGTACTTCAAAACTCATAAATTACTGTATAGTTCTATAAATAAAGATTGCCACTTTGATTTGAGGATGGGAATTCCATCATATTGACTAACATTCCTTTTAACGTTTTAAGAAATTGCTTAACCGGCATGATCATTGGAATTACTTGAAACGGCCGTTATTTATAATGACGAATATGCAAAAAAGACGGATCGTGCTCGCGGGAGGAACAAGATTAATGAATCGAAATATCAACCATGGTTGCTTTTTTGTGTCATGCGCTTTTCTTCTCTGTTTCAGAATGAAGAGGTGGTGTCATCCGTGTTGACTGAACTGCTGACAGTGTTTGCATCTTTTCTCACTGTGGACGTGTCTGGAAGTGAGGAGAGCCTGAATGATCTGGTAGCAGAAGGCGGCCTCCAGTTCCTATCTCTCCTCCCACAACTGCTCAATAGTCACCCCCTCCTGGCTGACTCACTGAAAGTGCACTTGCAGGTGTTATATGTGAGTATGAAGTCTTGATCTAATCCCGAATTCATGAAGGCTCCCCCCCCCACCCCTTTTCAAAAAATAGGTCTTGAGAAAAAAGTGGTCCTGATAATTAGCATGCAAAAGAGTGGATTACTAACAAATTTATTCTAGTGCGTGATGTACTTGATGGAAAGTGTGCACAAGCTACTGTCCCACGAGAAGGCAATCTCTTTTCTCTCTGAGTGCTGCAGGGCAATGAAGCAGGCCGACTCAGACTCGCACTCGGAGCTTCCTCTGGCCCTGTCATTACTCTCATGCATTAAAGATCCGAAGGGAATGGTGGCACAGCTGCAGATAAGTAAGCAATAGAAAGGATTAAATGACTTGGCAATTTTTTCTTTTCATGTAAATGACTCTAAAACGCATATAAACAAATGGAACGAGAAATGGTTGTGTGGAATGAAATGGCAAATGAAATATCTACACTTTCTATAAGTCTCCAAGTTTCCGTTGTTTTGGATAATTTATCCTCGCGCCTAACATACCGTTTTCTCGCCATGATTGTGCGTAGCGATTCTTGATTCTTTCTGGAACTATAGGCGTGAAAGTCAATTTAATGTTCATCAGGAAATCAAGAGCAGGAGGAGAAGTGTGTGCATTATGTGGGGGTGGTAATAGCCTGTCTGGGTAGTTTCGTCTACAACAACATATCAGAAGACCATTTTGGACCAGTCAAGAGAAAAGTAGGATCCTTCACTCCAGTCGAGAGACTATTTGAATTGTATTCAAGTGTTCTAGTATCGTTTTTTTCCGACTCCGCACTTTTTTTATTAAATGCATATCTCGACTGATTTAGAAAAAAAAATTGAATCGCAAAATCTAATATAAGATTAATTAAGAAGGCTGCTGAGACTGATCAAGTAAAATTTTCTTCCAAAGAATTACTTCTGTTTAACTATACCTGACTTGTAAACTAAAACATGATGTATTTTCCTGTAGATGAGTGTTATCTTTGTGAACGAATTGCTCACGGAGAAATGCGAAAGTCAGTTGAGGATACTAATTGAACAGTGCAGTTCAGTTGTGCATGCGGAGAATGCATTGAAAGTGGTCTATGCCCTGTGTCAGAACTCGACCTCATTCTGTGAAACGGCAGTGGCACTGGGAGTGATTGAGACGGCAGTCATGATCATCACTGGACAGGTGAGTTGTTCTCTCGAGATTGATCATTTGCTCCTCACAGGGGCGGTATTTTTCTTAAGCAAAACAGTACTGAATGTCAAGTTTATCTATCCGTGTCAAATGTATGTAACGGTTGTCTCTGGTGTCTAATGTTATATTTGTTTGAAAATGATTGATTAATGCGAGTCACCTTGCTGAAACATCTCTTGTGAAGAGTTCAGCTGATTTTTCAGAATTACTGAGCCGGTTCTTGGAGCGAAGGATTCATAGAGACACTTGATAAATATGAGATCAGCTGCAGCTGTAGAATTTATTTCTCCAAATAATAATATAGCAGACCATCGTTTAATAGCTATTTCTTTTACAATTTAAACAAATAAATAATTTGAATAAATAAATAAACAATGGCTTTCACATTATAAGGAGAGGACAGGCAAAGGGAATAATAAATTCCCACTGAGCGTCTACCCTATTCAAGCATCATTTCAAACTGCAAATAGTACAAATATTTTTATATATCTATTTGTCTGCAAGAAAAATAGAACAATTATTGCATTAATCTAATCGAAGTCGTATAAGCTGGTTCAAAGTTCCTTTACCCACTGAGAGTGAACCCGAGGTCCCCAGAACTCTAAACCATTCAAACGAGTATATATTTTTTCAAACCATATGTTAAAGAAATTACTTTTCCAGCAGAGCAAACAACGTTGAAAATTAAAATAATCATTATAAACTTTATCAAAATCAGAAACATAGTCTCTTGAATGGACATAGAACATAGAACAACCGCATTGCACAAATAATTTAAATTTAACAGCAAGGATGGTACAGGTATTATTCAGAAGATAAGGGATGAAAAAATATATAACTGATTTGTTTACAAATTTCAAAGTTTTTCACCGAAAACTTATACCAGGCAATTTTTTTTTCTCCTTAAAATTCGCTAGTAAATTGGGCATAGTAGAACCTTTGGGGGCTACATTTTCTAACTTTTTCAAAAATATGACTATGTTCTAGGCGATGCAAAAATTCACTTCACCAGCACAATTCCCATACTAGGACTTGAATAGTATAAAAATGTTGTCTAGGACAACGCCCTTTCTTCTGAAAGAATGTGCTGGCTCCGCTTCAGATTGCATCACAACAAAGTCATACTTTTATTTACAAATAAAAATGTGCTTAACGAGGTCTATGTTGCCTATCAAAAAATTCGTTTTGAAATTTTTCAGAAATTTTTTAATTTCATTCTTTTTCAAGGAACAAAGATTTTCTGGTAGAATTTTATTTTCACTTAATAAATTTAAAAGTCTCGAGCTCCTTCTTTTCAGTGAATTTGATCTGGTATTTGTTTTGCAAAAAGGTTCTGAAAAAAGAAGAAATTCAGATTTTCTCGTTTTGCGCATCTATTCAGTTTTGGTGAAAAAGGAATTTAGAAAAACAATTGAATGCATTTCATTTACCGATTGTAGACAAAATTTCAGAAGTTCGTGAACATATAATTCGTGAACGGTTAATATTCCACTTGAGTAGAAATTGGTCGGTAATACTATCATATTTTTTATGTAAAATATAAGACGCATAATCTTTTTCTGTAACATATGAATGGGATTTAAGGCATTTATACTGGTGCAACCATAAACAAGCAATCCGTATTGAATAATTGGTAGGATATTATAGTTATAGTATTTGAGTAACACACTTCTGGGGGTAAAATTTCGCATTTTTGACAGCACCCCACAATGTCGTCCCAACTTAGACCTGATTTTTAAAATGTGATCCTGAAAAGAGAGTTTACTATCGATGTGGACACCTAGATACTTCGATGAATGATTTGGCACATATGTATGATTATCAATGGTTAACATGAGACTAGAAGCACTTGTATTTTTATTAAATGTTATCATTGTGGTTTTATCGGTGTTTAACGTTAATTTATTTGATTTAAGCCACGAACTTATATTTGATATATCATTTTGATAAGTGAGTAGATCACTTTGCACTGACACGACATTTGTATCGTCAGCAAAAAGAAAAACATCAGCTACTTCAGTAACAAAGGGCATATCATTAATGTAAATCAGGATTAGTAATGGTCCTAGAACTGAACCTTGAGGCACACCACACGTCACCGGCAACCATTTAGAAAAAGTATCATCAATCACTACACATTGGAAGCGTTCAGCCAAATAACTTTCAAACCAGTTAAGAGCAATACCTCTTATTCCATGTAACTCTAATTTTTTTTAGAAGCAGCCTGTGATCAAGAGTATTGAATGCTTTTTTCAAATCAATGAAAAAACTACAGTTTATTTGACTATTATTTTCAAAGCGAATCCTTTCAGTCAATTCCACTAATGCGTCAACAGTAGAATAAGTTGACCGGAAACCAAATTGACGACTGTAAAGCAAATTAAAATTCTCCAGATAGTTCGATACACGATTTTGCCTTAATTTTTCATATATTTTACTACCTCAATTTAGCAGCGAAATAGGACGGTAGGACCTTAGCAAATAGGGCGTTTTTATGTAACGGTAGGACCTTAGCAAATTTCAGATAGCTCGGAAAACTTCCGTTATTAAAAGAAAGGTTGATTAGGTATGTAAGGTAAGGTGCTATAATATAAGCTGCTTTTTTAAGAAACAAATTGCTGATTTCATCAATGCCTGACGTATGTTTTGGCTGTATACTATTAATCACTTGCACAACTTCGAAATAAGTACACCGAAATAAATACATTGATTGACTTTCAGAGGTTTTCCGCATATTGTGTTGGGTGTCTTCAATAAGTGATGATAGTTTCGGCCCAATAGCTGCGAAAAAGTCATTGAAATGCTCTGCAATTTCCGGAGGCTTTGTTATTTCCTTACCTTCGACATTTATCATGGGGATATTTTTTGACGATGAATTTTTACCTGTAATTTCATTTAATAACTTAAAAACTTGTCTCGAGTCTCCAATACATTTAAGAAACTTGTTTGAATATAAATCCTTTTTTGCTTTTCTTATACTTTTTTCTACTTGTGTCTTTCAATTAAAAATAATTCTTTTTTCTGGATGTTTGAGAAGTCATTTTTCCATATTTTGTACAACCTATTTCTTTTTATGACAGCATTTTTGTACAACCTATTTCTTTTTATGACAGCATCTTTTAAAGTTTTACTAAACTATTCGGCATTTGATTTTCTTCCTACGCCTGATTTTTTTAGAGGTGAAAAACTGCATAAAACTTCAAATAAGCTGCTTTGAAAGTTATTGTAAGCAAGGTTCACATCGTTCACGCCTATGATTTCAGATGATAAAAGCTTATCTTCAAGAGAAATTCGAAATTGGCTAAGAGTACGTTCTTTATTAAGGAATGAGAAATCTCGAAAATGATGTGGATACATCGCAAATGTTTTGTATAAAGAAATGATCTATACACGACGTACTAGTTTCGGTCAAACTTGTTGGTGGAGTACTAATGAGTTCAAAACCATTTGATATTATTGCATTCTGATACAGATGGCACAATTCATTTTTAAGTATGACGTCAATGTTAAAATCTCCACAGATAACAATTGGGCATGTGTACGCTGAAAGTGTTTCCAATTCCTTGTCTAAATCTTCGACAAAACTCATTTTATCACATCGAGGAGGAACATATATAACCACTACTACAATACGGTTCCCAAAAAAGTCAACTAAAACTGCTGAGGATTCAGGTAGATTTGTACTCAGTTGTTTAAGTATATTTACCTTGTTATGAAGTTGTATCATCGTACCCCCACCTCGGGTCGATCTGTTTGCAGCAGCATATGGTTTATAGCCTTTGACTGCATAACAGTCTGGTTTATCATCATCGGATAACCAAGTCTCTGTAATACATAATATACTGGGCAGAGACTCGAGACTACCTATAAGTGTTTCTAGATCCTCATGATGTTTCCTAATAGAACGAACATTTGATAACATTACAGAGAATTTTTTTTTAGTAATAACTGCACATTTTGATGAACTTTTAGGAACCACTCGGGTTGGACGAGTTACCGAAAACACTACTAAAGCACTCATTCAAATCATTGTGAGAATAATCCAGAAATTTAGCTCCTTCATACAACCCTTGTATGCGGTAGATTTTGCCATCATCTTTCCACACAAAGAAGATTGTCCCTTCTCTGGTCCACGTTGAAACTATTCGTTGATCCTCGCGCATTTTTCGAATAAATTTCGCCCTGGCCTGACTGATGTCTTCATATATCTTAATATAACGGTAGTCGCTATTTTCAGACAGCGATTTCTTATTCCGTAGAAGCTGTAGTTGCGCAATTCTTCGTGCAAACCGCACAATGATGGGTTTGTTTTGTGATGCTCTTGATGGCAACCGATGAGCTATGGATATGTCTTTCAATTCTATTTGGGCATTTGTCTCATTCGCAACTTTCAAAATCTTTTCCATTGTCTCTTCATTTGTTTCGCGATTTGAGGACTCTTGAACTCCTAGAATTTTTACATTCTCTCTTCTGGTGTACGACTCTACTAATTCAGCTTCGGACAACGCTTTTAAATCACCTTGCATTTTTTGGGATGAGAGGCGCCAACATACTTCTGACATGATTTCCTGCTTTAGGTTCTGCATAGATACTTGAATAGCATCCTTAATAAGATCTGCGAGCTGGTTCTTTAGTTGGTCAATGATGCCAGGAACGATGGTCGCCATGGATAATTTGACCGCATTTTCAACTTATGTGGAAAAATCATCATTGTTTTCTTCTTCGGCCATTGGGGAGAGCGTGGCCCGAGGACGCTTCGAATCTGGTCTGGAAATCGGGGTTTGGTCGCGGTAATGAAGTTCCGGGATATTGGTTTCGTCTTGATTCTGCACTGGACTGGGCTCAGCATTTGGTTCAACTGACATCTCATCGCCATTAACTTTTTCCATGTTTCGTCTCTGAAACTATTTAATAAGTTTATCACAACAATTAGGCTCTGTTGTATTTTTCTCGTTTTAGGCTCTGCACAATTAGGCTAAAACAATCTGTCTTTTTGATTCCTGTGTGTTCATATGAGTTTTGTTGTTTAGATTGAGTTGAATGAAGTCATTGTGAATTCTGCTATCGAGCTGAGTCTTCACACTCTGACTACCATCATCCTTCAGTTGGAGACAGTTCCTGACCAACTGCAGATGGCCAATGATTCAGTGTCCAAGTTCTACGTAGAAAGTCAGATCGCCATTCATTCGGTTAGTTTGGTGCCATGATTTAAAAAATTTTTAAGTTGAAAGTATTGAAAATATGTAAATTGGTAGTTATTTTTGAAGGCTACTTAAAATCTCGAATGAAGTTCTTCATTGCATAAATATGGGATTACGGCTGTTAGGTTTTGACATTTGACATATACGCCAATTCTACTGTGCCAATCTTAAAAAGTCGCCACATAAACATGGCTTTTCAAATGGGTGCTCTAGTATACGGATTGTTTCATTTTATAGGCATGTGCTGCCCTGCTTGTGAGTCAGATGCTGTCGTTTGGGGTGGGAATAGAGATGCACCCTGAGGACCTTTTAGAGGCCAGTCTGTGTGTGTTGACTGACTTGGAGGGTGTCTATATTAAGTTCCCCTTCGACTATGGAATACTGGATGGGCTACTCATCCTACTCAACCATTACATCACATCCGTTAGTGCATTTTATTACCGAGATATTGGTCTTGAAATTAAATATTACGTCTCGCATTACTGAAGAAAAATCATTGCAGTGAAAATTTTTGCTTCGATTTTTGTTGGTTTTTTACTTACACCAAAATTATCGCTGCAAAAATGACCACTCGATAAATTTTTGGCGTTTCTTGACTTTGGTGCTTTTGAAAGGTTTTTTTTCGCTATCGATTCTAAGTTCCGAACCTGAGTCTCAGAGTCAATGCACGGTGAGATTGTCGATGCGTTGATTGTCTTGTTCATCCACCTCTTTTGCAACTCGAAGGTGTTCTAGACCCGATCTACGCTAAGTTCAGATTTGTGTTTCAGGTGTTGCGTTATAAGGTTTTTAGCACGTTTTAAACCCTGATCATATGTTTTAATAGATTTTTTTTAGTATTAACTCCTCATTAGTATTACCTAGTAACGATAGAAACATACTCATAATGTCTTAGCAGACAGTAGATCTCCATAGATGAAGTTATTTGTGGCAAGTCATTTTCAGTACAATGATAAAACGATTGCACCTATATTTCACCATTATGAACGCTCAAGAATCACCCAAACTACACGTATTTCATTGACTTCAGGGCGACGCATCATCCATCCGCTCGATGATTCAAATCGGAGTGTGGGTCACGTGCTGGCAGAGGATGTCACAATGTCTAAACATAGCCACAGACGAGGACTCCGTTGAATCTCAGCAGCAGAATCAGGAGTTCACGTCTAAGACAGGTGCTAATCTGAATGGGACATTTTCAAAAACTACCACCACGCATTCTGCTGAGAGTGGTTGTGTGATGAAGCAAGAACCAGTCTGGGCATTAGTGTCTCCGAGAGGAATTGTGGCTATTCTGCAGCTGGCATCAGTCGTTTTTTCGCAGGTAGAAATCGGGAGGCGGCGTCTTTTTGCTAGTCCATCCTAAGCAGTGATGTCCATTGAAAAGAATTAAAATTGAATTTTTTTAGAAAAAATATCAAAATTGTTGACATCAATTAAAATTTTTCGGAAACTAATTAAGTATTCTATAGCAATTTATAGCAATTGAGATGATATCAAATCCAGTATACTTCTGCCAATTTTGGGTACTTTTCGCCACTTCGAGCAGTTTTTTCGGGTGAATCGATTTCGAACAAAATTTATCGCTTTCGTCGTCAAGACTTAATTTGTTTGCTTTTCCTGAGTTATCCTGAAATGTGAAATTTATGGATTCAAATAAACTGTCAACGAGTTTTATAGTACTTGCATCAGAGTTTTCAATTGGCGCATTCGAAGTGTCAATAACATTTTCATGAAAATCGATTTTTAAATAGTGTATGAATTTTCGCGCTTTTTCAGTTTCGTCGATTTGTAAGAGCGCGAGATCGTCTGTCTGGGTTGAAGAGAATAGCTAAAAGAATAATATCCGAAAGTTTTCGAAAACGTCGATCATTTTGCATATGCGCGGCTAGTTGTCCTGCAAATCTTGGTGATCTGCCTTCGACGTTTTCAATATCAGCAACCGCGCCGAAAAATTTCAAAATTTTTCTGATTTGTGATGAACTCTCTTTTTTTTCAACCTAAGTCACGAATATTGTTGCGACGCAAATATTGTTGCGACAAAATGTGTTCATTTTGGAAGTGTTCATTTTGATCAATAACCAACTAGTAAGTGCACCCAGTGCAAAGGATATTAGCACAGACTATAATATTTTAAATAGCACTTTTGCTTCAAGTATCATGGATCTTTAGCATAGAGGTAAGGAAGGAGACCCGCAACAAACTGAAAGGGTTCGAACGTGGGCAGGGCCGGATGTTTTTAATGAACTTTCTCGTGTACTAATTAAATTGCGCCCGCTCTGTAAATTGAGGCAAGTTAGTTGGTAATTTTTTTTCAAATTGACTGGTACTGCTAATGCTTCATAATTGCTTGCATCACTTAGCAACTCTGTAGACTCATAATTGACATGCGTCACTTGTAGGCGCAAAGTTTTGCTCATTCATTTTTTTCAAATAGCGTCATCGGTCGTATTTTTGCTTGTGTATGCGAAGTGCAACTTCGCCTCTGTGTACATTTTGGTCTACGGTCAGACTTTCAATTCCAAAGAACTCTCCAAAGTGGAATTTTTTTTCGAAGTTTTCGACATCAATTTAAATTTTTCGGAAACTAATTTATTATTATATGGAACTTTATAGCAATTGAGTTGGTCTTAAACCCAAAATATTTCTCATAATTTCTGCCACTTTTGGGTACTTTTTGCGACTTTGAGAAATGAAATTGAAAGCAAATTTTTTCAGGCGAATCTATTTCCAACAAAACTTTATCGAATTCGTCGTCAAGACTCAGGTTTTTTGCTTTTCCTGATGTATCCTGAAATGTGAAATTTATTGATTCAATTAAACTGACAATCGGGTTCATAGTACTTGCATCAGAGTTTTCATTGGCGCATTCGATTTGTCAATAACTTTTTCCTAAAAATCGAGGTCTAAATTGTGTATAAGTTTTTGCGCATTTTCAGTTTCCTCGATTTGTCAGAAAGCCCGAAATCGTCTGTCTGGGTTGCAGAGAATAGCTGAAAGATTTATATCCGGAAGTTTTCGAAAACGTCGATCATTTTGCATATGGGCGGCTAGTTGTACTGCAAATCTTCGTGATATGCCATTAACGTTTTCAATATCAGCAATCGCGCCTAAAATTTTAGATTATTTAATAATCATAAAAATCATAATAAAATTTAGAAAAAATAAATCCAAGGGAGTTAGCTCCCTTTCAGTTTTTGTCACATCAAAAGTTTTAAAAGTTTAATTTTCTAATGTTTCTACAGTTCATGCATCGGCAGTCAATTCTCCACGAGCATGGATCGTTTTCGTTGAGTTTCTCTTCTAAATATCTCAAGAAATCATTCGTTAGTTCTTTTATGTTTTCGTGCTCCTTGATATCGAATTTGAGGTGTTCATTCAAGGCGTTCATAATATTGCAGGCTCTCAGGAAAAAGTCAGATTTTGATTTTTGCAGTCGAAGTTTTTTGCTTTCGTATTTTTTCTTGCTCGCATATCTTGTTTGTCCTTTTTCCTTAACACTTATGAATTTTTTCCATTGTAAGTCAGTTTTTCCAGTTAGAATTTTGTGCAGTAGCAGTGGAATGTGTAGTTCATGATAAAGTGACAGATGAAGGATATCTAGGGAAATCAATCGATCTTTGTATTCTTGAGTTGGACTCAATATCCATGCTGTTGCTTTCTTTCATACACTTTCAATTATTTTGAGATCTCTTTTTGAGGGTTTCCATAATGATGAGCCATAACTTACAACATATGATTTGTATGATTTTAATTTCATGGCCTTTGTTGTTATTTTGGAGATATTTCTTTTCACAGAGCATATTGCCTTAGAGCTTTGGCAGATCTGTTTGTAGCATTTTCAGTCCAACTTAATGTGCTAGTGATTATAAGACCTAAATCTTTCAATTCTGCTGTTTCTTCAAGAACAGTTCCATTCACTTCAACTTTTGCATTTCCTTTCAAACTGATGTTTTTGGTTTTTGACACATTTACTGCCATAGAATTCCTTACACACCAATTCCAAATTCTCTTCGCATCGATATTTAAATTTAATGGCTCATTGTAAACAATTTTGTAATCGTCTGCGTAGCCAAAACTTGCTGACATTGCACAATCTGGTAGGTCATTCATATAGAGAATAAACATCAAAGGTTCGCGAATTGACCCCTGAGGCACACCACTGTGTACTGTTAATGGCTCGGATACTGCTTGTCCAACGCGAACGGTTTGTTTTCTATCTGTTAGATAGTTTTTTAGTAGCTTTAAACATCGTCCTGTGAAACCAAAGCTCCTAATTTTTTCAATTATCATTGCGAGGTTTACCTTGTCGAATGCCTTTTGGAAATCTAGGTAGAAGCAAGCCAGGTTATTTGTTTCGATATTATCATAGTAAGTATATACCTCATGGAGATACTCAATGAGGTTTGTAACAGTAGATCATTTTTGTCGGAAGTCGTGTTGTGAATTTGAGATGCTAAATTTGATCGAAAATTAATTTTTCTAACACCTTTGAGATAACCGTTAGCAGACTTATTGGACGGTAGTTTGAGACAAGTTGTTTGTCTCCCTCTTTGAAGATAGGAGCACTTCCGCTTATTTTCCATGTTGACCGAAAACACATTTATTAGCAATTGTGTTAAAAAGTAGATACAGAGATTTAGAGATAGAACAACTAAGTTTTTTCAAAAGAATGTTTCCTAGGTTATCAGGTCCTTTGGCTTTGTTGATATCCAATTTTTCAAGGGTTTTTTCGATTTCCGTTGTGGTAAAATGGAGATTCGCTATTTTACATTCATGAGATGGGTTATTCTCGCCTACATAGAGGGAGTGGCTAAAAACTGACTGAAAGTATTTATTAAATAAATTGGCTTTATCGACATTTGATGTAGCTCTTTGATCATCCAGGTAGACTTCACCTGGGATTGTATCTGTTTTTCGATTACTTTTAAAGTATTTTTGCAATTATGAGAAAATACCATCGCAAATAAGTTTTCTTCGTATGCTCTTTGGTCTTAGCTAAAGTTTAACTCGATGTGTTTTTCAACTGTTTGATGAGATTTGATGTCTCAGATGTTACCCAAGGTGCCAGAGAACTTCGATGTTTTGTTTTCCTGGGAATGTGCTTTTCGATTATGTTAAGTAGCCAAGTGTACCACAGTTCAGTCATTAGATCAACATTGCTGTACCAGTATGGGTTAAATAGGTTTTCATTGATGTATTGATTTATTTCGCCCGAGTTTGGTTTTGAGAATGAGAATCCCTGGAAGCCATTGCGGTTATTTACTTCTTTTTCTCTGATGTAATCTTTTTTAAAAATTAGGTTGAGTTTTGCGTGGCAAGGAGGATGATCCGTTTTATACAAGGATGTGAGTCTTTTGTCTTGTTTCACGAGAGTTAACAAATCTGGGTGGTTGCAGAGTATTACGTCTAGTTGTACTTTTTCTTTTCCCGTTATCATTTGTTCGAAGTTAAGTTCTGCAAGAGCGTCCAGGAAGGCCTGTTCGTCTTCATCAGAGGAGATTAGGGTCGACCAGTCCGTTTGAGCAAAGTTAATGTCTCCAGTAATCATCACGTTTCTCACATTTAATTATATTTGTTTTTGCCTAATAAAGTACAGAAAACTCAATAGGGTTTTTGACGACCAGCGGTATTCGCTTCCTTCGGGGCACAGTATATGCAAGCTATAATGACGGGGTTTTTGATCAAGAGCTTGACTATTAGGCAGTCATTGAAAGTTGAGGGTATGCAGTAGTGAGGTATTTCGTGGTTTATCCCAATTAGAACACCTCCGTGTTTCGATTTGCCGTTAACGCTTTGCCTGTGATTCCTATGGATGTTAAATTTATCAAGAAATATTGCTGCTGTCGTCACATTTTCAGTTAACCATGTCTCTGTTAGACAAATGATATCGTAGATATTTTAGATTGGATGGCATTCGAGAAGAGAGTTCTTCTAGAATATTCTAAGATGCTTCTGACATTATAGAGTAGTAGATTAGCTTTTTGTCTTTGTCAATTGTTGTCTGTTGTTTCAGATTTAGGCGATATCACTATCCATTGGTTTCCATCTCTTTTGTATAGCCTGCCATCCCTTACACTAAAGCCTTTCTTAATTTGCCCCTGATCTATAAGTTCTCTTCTTTTCTTTAAAGATTCGTTTTCTATCGCGGCTTCTTCGTTAGTTAGTTCCTTGCGTATGAATACTGGAGCTCCATAGTTTTTCAGTTTTCGTGCTGATGATAAGATCAGCCATACATATGGTAGTTTAAGAAGTATCGTTCTGTCATGATCATTACCTCTTTGGCCTAGTCTAATCAATTCCTTGAATTTACATTCAACCTCC